AATGCGTGGCCCTTCATGGATCGACAGTTGCTGGACATTGCCTTCAATGCCGTTGCATGGCGCGTATCCATAAAGCTGATGTGCTGCTGCGGACAAAATAGCACACGCATCTAACTTAGAGAACTAGACTATAGCTTTGCTATTGCACCTTAACCTTGATGATATTCGTACACAAAACATTGGAATTATATGTATAAAAAGTAATGAAAGTAATACAAACTTGGTAAAATCAATGACTAACTTGATTTGGTAATTTGATAAACAGAAAAGTAGAGTATCTTTCTCAAAGTATTGTCGGATTTTGAAAGCATCAATGTCAAAACATGGCGTCACGCGACTGCCGCACCTTAGAATTCGTTGTGCATAACGAACCGCTGCTATGCTTACAATTTAATTTTTTCCTAAGAAATTGCCCTTACTATTTTCATCCTTAGCAAATCTGATGAGTTCACAAGGACGAAGTTGGCATGAGCTTATGTAGAGCAGTTATTTTCAGGAAGAATTAGATACCGGTACAGAAACTTGGAGGAGGATGAAAGCAACAAGCTGTTGTATTTCTCAGTCCCTTATATACCATTTCTCTATATTGTAAACAAGAACAAACAAGGCTCACAAGTCTGTCCCTTTTCTGAACAAGTTGCTCGAGGTGTTCGGTTGAATGCTCTAATATAATTTCTTAGACCTTGACTGTAATTATCTCAATAGCATCTAAATTCTTCTGAGAATTGCGTGCAGACAGTGTAAATGCACGGCAAATAGGTTATAAGTGTGACTTTAGCATTCATTTTTGAAACTCATGTAGTGACAAAGAAAACTAAGGCTGCAATTATCTAACCCCAGAACATAACTAGGATCTATAATCAGATAAATAACCTCATATGTCGAGGTATAATTGCTTAAAAGTGCTAGTTTGCATTTGTGTTTCTGCGTCATCATTCACGAAATATATAGATTTAAGTACCCAAATGAGCTAATAAAGCTAGGTCTTTTCGAGAAGGGAACACGAAGCAATACAAAAAAGCTAAAAAGCCGGAACCGAAACGATTGAAAGGGTCTGTGATGCTCTATTGGCAGCCGCGGCGCGCCCGCAACTGCTGAAGCCTATAACCCTCTGCCAATTTCAATTCTTAGAACCTCTTGCTTAAGGAAAGAAGTAGTTTTTTAGTTTCTTCTATTGATAGGATCCATTTTAGTTTTACAGCAGATCCTAACTGAGGTTCTAAACCTCGTTTTGGACGAAAAATGAAGGTGAAAATGATATCTCGGAATCCTGACGATTATCAAAGGGAAACGAACAAAGACATTTACAAAAGTAAGTTTTTTTTTAATTTATTGAAAACCTTTCTTTTCATGTACCTATTATATACTTATTATTGATACTTATTGTTGATGCTCATTTATAAAAACTCTTATTTTATTGTTACTCCTTTGTGGCAGATCAATTACGTAAGTTTTTACGAGAAGTAGAGGCTTCGCCGACGAAAATTCCATTATAGGATGTTGAAGGCTATTTAGAACTTTTTCGATGTTGACTATCTGTTGTAAGGCATCATAGCCATCAAGTA